ATTATATATATAATACATAACTACATAACATAATACATAATACATAACAATTATATATATAATACAAATTAATATTAAATTAAAAATAAACAAAACTGATCAAAGTAAATGATAAAGTAAAAAATACTTTATCACTTTTATATGTGATCTATCAATTAAATATATTAGTCTATCAAAAATATACATGCAATAACATGAAGTTGGTTTCTTCTTTTTGATTAAACACTATTAATTAATTGAGAATGTCATATAATTTACTTTTTCTACTTATTACATTTTTGTAGAATATTGTATAATATTATTTGTGCATGTTTCATTAATTAAGATGAAAATTATTCTGAATCCAAAGTAGGATATAAGAATAATGAAATTGTAATTTTATAGTATAATAATGCAATGGCTGGATGGCCGAGATGTCAAGGTGGCAGCCTACTGCTCTGGGGGACACGGGCTCGAATCCGAACAGGTCGAAAAACCCCCAGGATTTTTTTGGGGGGGTCAGTTTGGATATGTCAGGCCCCGTCCCTCACCACCTGGCAGCCCCACTGTGGGCCTGGCCGAACCCACAATGGGCTTGCAAAAAGAAGCCCTCTTAATGTCAGGAGGGCGGAAAGAGTTAAATAAATAAATAAATAAAAAGTATAATAATGCAATCATATATTTTTTTAAAATGCATACTTATTAGTCTGATTCTAAAATAAATACTCTCTACACGAAAAACATTTTCTATAATACAATAGTTTTTAAAAGATTTATTTCAGATAAAAATTATATTTAAAATGCATCACGAAATAATTTCATTACAACATAAAAAATAACAATTTAATTATGTACAAATTAACAATTTATTTTTACTCATTACCAATTCAATTTTCCTTCATTATGTTTATCATACATACTTCTAAGATGATATAATAATTTAGTTAATCCCTTACCATATTTTGCAGATACAGGAAATATTGGTAAATCTGTACTTTCTTGCAAACTTAAGAGATTTTCTTTTGCTTCTAATTTATCTATTTTATTTGCTACAATAGCATGTGGTTTCAGTGAAAGACCTGTTTCGTATTGCTCAAGTTCATATTTCAATGCATCCAGCTGTTTAGTAGGTTTATTTTCTGACAAATCAATTACATATAACACACAAATGCAGCGTTTAATATGTCTCAAAAATGAAAATCCAAGCCCCCTGTTCAGATGTGCTCCTGGTATAAGACCTGGCAAATCTGCAACTATAAAGATATTATTTATAATTAGGTTATATATATATTTTTTTATTATTATAAATATGCTATTTTATTAAGCTAATGCATTAAATTTACCACAATTACTAATGCATGTTATGTTGTTTCATATAATCATCACCATAAAAATATAATTCAATATATTTGGATTTTTATTTTTGGTTTGATATATATGTTTTAAAAATTTATTTTTAATATGTGATTTCCTGACTAAATGAGGAGAAAGTTATAAATAATGAATTAAAATAACAAAACATTTAAATTATACTTTTATTAAAAGTATAATTTAACAGTTTTGTTATTTTAATTCATTATTTATAACTTTCTCCTCATTTAGTTCTTATGCATAGAAATAATAAGTTTTATAATAAATGTTTAATGCCAAATTTTGGATAAATATTATCAATTTTTATTTATGGTTAGAGAATTTAAAATGAAAAATTTTCAGTATTTCTTATTTATAGAAATATTGAGGATTCTTTGAATTATAAAATTAAAAATTACTGATATATTTTTTAAAAAGAACTTATCATAAGAAGGTCAATGTTTTTCCATAAAAAAACTAGTTAGTTTGAAATTCAAAATTTATTAACTTTACAATTTTATGTAAAAAGTTTATAAAATTCTTAAATTTCCTTCCATATTTTTGAAAATTATTTTACATATGTCCACTATTACAAATATATAAATTTTAAATATCTTTATAAAATAAAAATGACACAAGTCAGATTTATGACTTATTCTTTACTAATTGTCTTGATACTTAAAATTATCAGTTTTTCTTTTTTTTACTAAATACAGGCTCAATAATGGTAATCTGGCCAGTTGCTAGTTTGGCATGTCCAGTGACCTGACACTAGTCGATTTTCAAGTATTACCAGCACTATTACTAAGTTGTAAAGAAGTTCCCCACTACTTCGAATTCCAGTTTCTCCTAAATTTGAATACCTTCCCATTAAACTTGGCACATTATTGAGCCTTAACTTGAACATTCAACTTGGTCATGATATTAAAGATTGTTAGGCTTATCATTTTAAGTTGCTCAAAAAAATATCTTATAGCACAGTACTGTATAAATATAAGAATGAGTCCTCTCTGAACTTTCCCATCAAAAATACTGTATTTTTTACTGAATTTCCAATATCCCATTAAATTTAATGGGAATCTACCAATTTGGTAATGTAATTACCAACAATGGTAGAAGGTAATAGAAAATTATTTTTAAAGAATTGGTGATTAATTTGAGAACTCTAAAATTCAGTTACATATAGTTGCTCTCCTTTCATATTTTCTTGTTATTCTATATATATGTATATATGTGTTTTTGATTAAGACAATGTACTAATTTCATGCAAATAAACATAGGTTTTCTTTCTGAATGATTAACCATTTAATTCACCTTACTTCCAATAATCTAGGAATATCCTTAATCAGACAGTGTTTTGGTCCCATATCAGATTACCAAGATTGTTTTGTACTTTCAAAGTTATTACTTTATTTATGATCTATAAGAAATTATTAAGAATATTTATTCACTATAGAATATAGTTTATAAGAATAATATTCTCTACAAAATTAATTTACAGTATGGATTATCTAAAATAAAATCATTAATTATAAATGAATTATCACATTTTAGCTAATTCATACTACAGTATTAATGATTTACTGATACATCATATGTCAGTTTTGAAATTACATGATAAAATATTATAATATACAATAATGAAAACAATTTTCCAATCATTCACAATATGTTTTATTACTAACAACACTAAATTTAGAGCATAAAATACTGCACAAGAATTATGAATGCAAAAGTAAAATTCATAATAAATATTTGAGTTATTTTTTAAATTTAATTGAATTAATATACAAATTAATTTGATTTATTTGCAGAGTAGCACATAAATAAATTTAAAATATTTATTTATTTATATGATAAAAGCAAATCTTATAGGAGACTACACGATTAGTAAATATATCTGTTACGAGTTATCCGAAATCTATTGAAAAATACCACAAATTATAGTATATATAAATAAAATAAATATA